GTCACGCTCCTGGCCCAGGTTTTTTTTTCCATCCTGCCCTTTTTATTCTCCTGTTGCCCTTGCAATGACCTGACGTGCTCCTTTGTGCTCGAATGCCAAGCCTGTGTGACCTGCTCGCTCAGCGCCACTGATTAAGTCCAACAACAACATTTTTTCAGAGGGTCTGTCCCAACACATTTCGTTGGGATTTTAAATTCTTTAGATTTCATTCAGCCCATGTGCATCGCAGTGTCACAAGGCTCTGGGCCCGGCTCAGTTAGTCCTGGCCCTGGAAGAGCTCCAGCATCCCCAACACCATGCCTATGAGTACTGCAGCAGGAAGGGATGGTCTGAACTGAGCAGGCTGCCAAATAAGGAGTCACCATGGCTCCCTGCTCCTTTTAACATACAGCTGTCTTGGCAAGGATCCCTGCAGCCGCTGGCCATAACTCCAGTGACAAACATCAGTGCCCAGAGATAGCAATTGCTATCTCTGCTGATAGGTATCATTGCAACACTGAATGGCAGAGAAGAGCTCTGATGAAACTGAGGTCTATCTACTCTTATGCTGAGTTAGTTCTGCAGTCAAATGCAAACTACTGATTCAGTTCTCCCAGGTCCAGGGGAAAGGACTGCAGAATGAAACAAGGGAAATTCACATATGATTTTTTTGCTCGCTACACTGCTATCCAAACCATATGAGGCACCTCTGCTCCATCAAGAGTTTCAGAACAGTATCGTGGCTCAGTCCATACCATATGCTGCTGCCTTTTATTGTAACCATTTAACAACCTGCAAGTTGTACTTGTTTTCTATCAGCTTTTAATTTGTCTCTCTTTGCTCCTCTCATCTGCTCCTGTCCATAATAGCAAACAGCCTGATGGAAAATAAACAGAAAAAGTGTGAGGAGGGACAGTTCTGAGACAAAAAAAAAAAGAAGAACAGAGAAGGCAAATCCAAGGAAAGAGCTGTGGATGAAGTAGGTGCTGCCCTGAATGTATGAGTGAGGAGTTTAAAATTAAATGCAGAAGCAAGCAGGATTTTCATGTCAGGATTCGAGGATGAGAAAGAATAGGAAAGCAGCAGCACCACTCAAAATGAGCAGAAGGAAGAGGAATGAGAAAGACCAGAGGAAAAATAGCAGAGAGTGATGGAAGACAGGTTGCCAAGGCTTGCTTTCACACAGAAATGTGGACAGAAAGCCATGCTACTAGTGAGGTTCTGCTCCCTTATTTTTAAAACTACACATTGTCTCCTAAGCTTTGCAGATCTTTATGTAATATGTTGAGGAGCCAAAAGCCCAGTAAGAAATCTTCTGCTCTGCTAGACACGCAGACAGGTAAAATATCTGTGCTACACAATCAACAGGACAGAAATCTGCATCCCTAGAGCATTTTATCAACTCAACATTTTTGTCTTTAGCTTCCAAGAGCTAGTTGGAACTCAGTAAATCTGCAAGAAAGGATTCACTTGCAACCTGGGATAACATCTTAGATCCATGACCAGCTTGCATTTTTAGCAGCTCTGACAAAATGAGCTAGCTTGTTCTTTGGTTTTGCAATTACATGAATTCAGCATAAGAGATCTTGGAATGAAATGTGTTTAATAAAAAGACGCTTGCTAGCAAGTCTGGGAGGATCACACTGACAGAAATAAGTACAGATCTGCAAAACATTAAAAAACATGAATTTTCAGGAAAGGAAAGGCAAGGCAACAAGCCAGCCTAAATGGAAAATTCTGGGGGAACTATGCTATTGGCATAACAGAGCACCATCAAACAGGGTCTGAACTTCATTTTTCATCCTGTCCAGCTTCTATCAACTACCAATGGGGACTTCATAGCAGCCTACTGGTACTTAAAGGGGGGGCACTACAGGAAGACTGGGAAAGAAATCTTTATGAGGGAGTGTAGTGATAGGACAAAGGGTAATGGCTTCAGGCGAAAAGATGGTAGATTTAGATGAGACATTAGGAACAAATTCTTTACTAAGGGGGGTGGTGAGGCTCTGGAACGCGCTGGCCAGAGAAACTGTGAATGCCCCATGCCTGGTGTTCAGCACCAGGTTGGATGGGCTTTGAGCAATCTGATACAGAGGCAAGTGTCCTACCCATGGCAGCAGGGCTGGAACTAGGTCATCTTTAAGGTCTCTTTCAATCCAAATCATTCCACGATTCTATGATAACTCAGAATTTGATTTTTGAATGGACTGCATTCCTTACAGTTCACTTCTAAGTATTTCTACCTTCATCTGCTGACAGAAAAGGCAAGCGGTGCTTGCAAGAACTTATCAGTTCTCAAGGAATACCTTTGTACATCAGTTAGAGAGCACACATGAGCATCACAGGTACTTACTGTTGTAGAGTGCAAACTTCCCACAATGGTCTTTCCCCAGAAGAGGGGCAAAGGAAAGCCATTCATCTGCTACAAAAGTTAGACACTCAGCTCAAGATTATCTGACACAAGAGAAATCTTGACATAACCAAGTGCTGCCTCCTTGACTTAACGAATGCTCTGTGCTTGGATTTTGACAGGGTCCTTCAACAAGGGCCCTTACAGAAATTAAGTTGTCATGAGATGACAGGAAAGCCTCTCTTAGGGATTAATAACCAGCTAAAAGGGAGCAAGAGAAAACCAGAAATGGCCAGTAAATCTATTCAAATAGCACTTCAGCTCTTTACAAATGACAAAGAGGCTTCACAAGTTATTACAAAAGGAGCGGCGAATGAAAAAAGGAATACAAGTTTCAGATCCATACCCTACATGGGCATGTCTCTTCTCCTTTCAGTCGCAGAAAGGCAACCTAGAAGAGATGCAGAAAGCGTAGCAAGAAAAGGACAGCTCCCATATACACAACAGTTAAACAGACAAATCTTCAGCATGAGCAAAGAAACAAAAAGGGCTCAGAAAGTAATGGGACAAAGCCCTAGAATAGAAAGCCATCAAAGGAGAGCTGCAGACAAAAAGCTCTGAGGCAAGCAGCCTCTCAGCTACAGATGCTGGGAGAAGAAATACGTGAGAAGTAATATTAGTACTGTTTGCTCTTCCTCTATGATCTTCCTGTTTGCACCTGCTGTTGGCCTCTGCCAGAACTTTGGTACACTCCTCCATGGGCCTTTGCTCCTGCTCAGAGTGCTTGAGCACAAGTCCTGATCAGTGGGAAACATCCAAGTGAAAAGAAAGTCACAATGCTGCCCTCTGATCCAGAGGGAAGACATCATCATCACAGACAGAAGGCATCCTTCTCAGAGCCAGATCCCTGTAATGAAGAGAGCAGTAGCAAAAGTGAGGACAAGAAGGCTCTTCAAAAAGCATTATTCTGAATTCCCAGGATACTGGATGGATGAGGAGAGCAGAGACATTTTTTTTAAGTGTTTTTGAGATGAGCTGTGAGTTAAATTGGGCAACTGACAACAGCTAGGAGTGATAACTGTTCTCCTTGCTGTGTGGGACAGTATTTGCACAGATGCCTAAGGAGGGCTATGAAAGCTATGATTGCTGTAAAGCCCCATTGCAAATGTTGAAACTGACACCAGTAACTCACATCTAAAACTGTGAGGGTTCAGCAAGAAGGGGACTCAGAATGGCCCAAGTTTAACCCAACAGACTGCTGCTTCTACAGTCAGTCCCTCTGAGCAGGCTGTCGCAGGAAATCTCTGCAGGAGCATTATCATGTGGATCAGTGCACACATGGGGAATAGGCAGTTCAGCCCAATCCTGAAGGAAAAAATTTTCCCATAGGAAAAGCATGCAAACCACCCTTCACCCACTGAGAGGGTAGGGCGCAGCACGTCTGTGCAGATAAAGCTATTTGGTAAGCAGATGAGCAATTGAGGAAGGCATAAAATGCTCCACCCTGAGCCTACTTCCTGAGTCCTTTGGTCAAAAGTCTTGTATGTCATGGAGTAAAAAAGAAAAGCAAGGAAAGAGATGGGCAAAAGAGTAAAGAGACACTATCTCTCTGTAAGGGTATTTTTCTGACAGGATATGATCAGGCAGTGGATGGCAAAAAGATGCAGATAAACTATTTCTAAGGCCAATTCCAAGATTTTGTCGGCTGAGTCAATACAAACAGGAGGTAAGACTCTCAGAGGATGACCCTTTTTCTTTATTACTTGAAAATGATGTTAATGCCACAGCGTTTGAAGACAGATATTCTTAAGCCAAATGACTGAGAGACGAACTGATTTGCTTCTTCTGTCAGAAAAAGGAGCAATTTAGCAGTGATAGCAGTTCCAGATAAAACTCCTGCGTATCAGAACTGCGTCAGGAGAATCTTCTAACTGAGCAACGAGGAAATTTGTCCCAGTTCATGTCCTCTCCTTGCACAAGGCACAGAAACATGGCCAGGGATCCTCAGGGTTAGCAACAACATTTAGTTTGGTAAGAGAGTTATGCCAGGTGGAGAAGTGTTGCGTTTATAAACTTTAAAATAACATCAAGGCTTGTTAGAGTTTCTGGGCTATTCAGCGGTATACCACCTCACATAGTCCTTGACCCTCTTTGTGCCTGGAATACCCAAAGCAAAAGGAACTTTATAAAGGCTGCAGCAATCCAAAGAAAGACATTCTTCATGTATCTCTTTTTGTCATGTGATAGGATGAGAGAACAAATTCATCTAATTACAAAAATAGCCTAAACCTGTCACTTGCTGTTGGTCGCCATTGTTGTAGTTAAAATAGGCTGTGAACTTTGCAGGACAGCGACTGCCTTGTTTGTTTTTAGAGTGGTCAGTATGCCAGGGCATCTATCTTCTGGGGGACTCTCAGTGCTTAAGCCTGAATTAACCTAGCTACTACACAGTTTCTTAGCTGAGAAAAGATGTTGCCATTGAGAAGAAAAGAAGCTATAGACCTAGCAGCCAAACTTGTAAAAAGCACTGTGGACATCAGCATAACAATCTTTGAAAATACAATGCCGATTACCATCTGCCTGCGGAAATAAGTTTTCTGACCAGCTATCAAACCTTGCTCCAAGCACTTAAATTACAAAATTGCTGGTTTGTGCAATCTCACACCCTTACCTGACATCATTCCCTCCATGGGCAAAGGATCCAAAACAGGCTGTTAAGATCTGGAGGAAGTGGAAAAGCAGATGGACCTGAGACGTGTCCTTCTCTTCCTTGTCCTCTTCCACAGGATCTTCTGGGGGCCTGTTAGAATCTGCGAGTTCAGAGGCCAACTTCATTTCCACTCCACCCTCCTCCGCCTCAATTTCTGCCTCAGCCACTGCGTTGCAATAGCTGGAGTAGCTGTCATAGCGAACTCGTTTCTTAGAGTAGGACACCGTGTCTCCTACTAACTTCTCACTGTCCTCGGGAGTCGATGTATCTGCTGCCTTAAATGAGGAATGCACAGGCATGCCACAGATAGCAGCTGTATAGCAGGTATAGCTATTGTTGCGTCGTAACAGTTTGTAGTTGTTTTCTTGAGCAGGCTTCTCATCAGTGGACCTGTCCAGGTGCATTTTGTGTAGCAAGTCTTTGTATAAACCTGAGTCTTTGTGCACAGTGTGATAGACATGGCCATCACTCCTCACCTGGCCGTCAAAGCTGAAAGTGCCATTAGAGACAGGGGATTTCACAGAGGTGTGCGTCATAGAAAAGGCCCTTCCTAAAAAAGCAGAGATTTAGAGATGTTATTTCTATGAAATGCAATTTTGAAACCCCCTCCCACTTCACAAGATGAAAAAACAAGAGGAAATGGCTAAAAAAGTAAAGCCTTCACAGGATATGGGACAAAGAAGGCTAATTTGCAATACATGCTTTGAACAACCGAAGAGTTAGTCCACTGCAAAATAAATTCTCCCATCAAAAGTTGGGATTACATCGAAAGTATATTAAAGCAAAACACCTTTGTTCCAGCACTGGATCTTCCACAAACATTTGGGAGGACCTGCAGTAAGTAATTTAGGACCCGCCACTCAAAGGTGATATTTGAAGCCCAAGACCTCTATTTTTTTGAAAACTCAGTGATGTAAAAATTCCTAATCTGTAAAGTAAGATCTTTTCTGAGGTTTTCTTTACATTGAATATGTGTAAGTATGTCAGGAAAGTTGGTCTTTCTGCAATTTGATACTGAATATGAGGTCACATTTCAAAAACCCCTATATTTACATTTACATGACTCAAAAATAATTTAACAGAACAGAAAACAAAAAGCTCACTTTCTGCAAAAAATATTTCTTCAGCTATTCAAATATTTTGTTTATTTTATTTCTATCAACGTAGTTATTCCTACCATACACATTTAACATCAATGTCTGCTGTAGAAGACCTATCACAGCTAAGCCAATATTTCTGAAGAAACTCAAATTACCACTGTGCAACATTCAGAACTGTTTTATCTGGTTTTGAAGTGGAAGCTCATGCTCAAAGAGCTTCCCACCGTGACTTCTTTGATTTTGTGAGAGTCAGCTGAATACCTCAGGCGTTTACTTACCAAATTACGGGGTTGCATAGACATTAGTAAAATGATATGAGAGTCAGCTGACTCCAAATTGGTGGGAGAGGGGTGATGCCACCACATGGAACAAAAAGGGCTTTATGCACACAAACATACCTCTGATGAATATACGTTCAGAAAACAATGAGATTTTTCTAGTGGGCATGCTCCAAATGGTCATACATTCGTCAACTAAAACCCAAATCTTTTCATCTCCTGCTAGTAATCTTTATACTGCACTTAACCTTCAAACATCAGCTTGTTTATGTTCTCTGTATTTTTCCACTGCTTAAAAGGATAGAAATATCATTAAGAACAGCAAGTAAAGCAGGAAGGAAAGTATGTACTGCTTTCATAAAATGCACAGGCAACCAAACCAAACTGTTTTCAGGCTCTCTATAGAAAATGTCATTTATAAATGAGAATTTTTCTCCACAAATGGTGAAGAGGGATTAGGGCCGAACATCCCAAACACTAACTTACCATTTATGATACAGACTTACATGCAGCAAAACATGCTATCAAAACAAGAAGACTGTAGTCTGTCTTAGTTTCTTACCATAAGGTACACGTGGATGGTTTCCATTTGCAATAGTATCTGATGCCCCAGCAGCTTCTGTTACTGAGCCAGTGAGGGGAACTGAGCTCTCATCAGACACTTTGGCACCGGGAAGCTCTTTAAAGACTGGTGTTTCTTCATCTTGAATTTTATCAAGACTTTCATCTGATATCCTTGACAGCGCAGCATCTTTCTTTAACCGGCCTAATGAAATAACAGAACTGTAATTCTAAACTCAGCCTCTCTGTCACACTGCTTATGTTTCCAATGTTTGCCTCAATGGAACAGATCCGCGTGGATACAGTAGCTTGGCTCTGTTTATTACGCATTATTTATTTTTAACACTTAGCTTTGTTAAATTCAACTAAGAAAATGCTACAGCATTCTATAACTTCACCAGCACAGGTACCTGACGTAAAGCACCAAGCTGCTCATTAATTAATGAAAACCGAAACTTTTCTCTGATTTTGCAATGCTCTATTTGCTGAAAGTAGCAAAGCAAACAAGTAAAAGACTGTAAAAGTAAAAGCTGCCATCAGTCCAGCTCACTGTGAAGTTAGTCACTTGAAGATAATCATTCTGCCAGATTTTTCTCTTAAATATTTCCTTACCAAAACATAAAATGGATTATATTCCAGGATTTATTTTCCTGTTTCTGCTAGACTCTGGAAGGCATAAGCACTGCAGTGGATTGCCTAAAGAGGTTTTGAATTTCTTCCACTGCAGGTTTTTAGGAGCAGGTTACATAAATACATGAGGAACAGCTTCAGCACGCCCTGCCTGAGGACAACACTAGATGACATTTCAAGGGCACTTCAGTACTGAATTGAAACTCTCCACAATTTGAAATCATTCACATTTCATCAATCAAGTACTTACTTTCTATTTTTCTTTTCATCCAGGGGCATACAAAAATCCAAACTAAGACAGCAAATACTAAGGACACGCCGAGTGATATCAGAGCAATAGCCCACATTGGCAGTACCAGCCCAAGTACTGTGAAGACAAAAGTAAAACCCAAGCAAACTGTAAGTTAACTTGACTTATTTATCTCAAGCAGTGGAACATCAGACTTGCAAAAGCCCGTGTTTGCCATGTATTCAAACCCAGCATGAATGAGTGGCTCATTTTTAACACGAATATGTCATATAAGTGCAATATTCAAAAGTCTAGCTGACCTGCTAACATTTACGGGACCGATCCTACAAGCAATTTGTTACCCCCCAATGACCTCATTTCCAAAGAAGTCAGTGGCAAAACATCCATATCAGGGCTACAAAACTAGTTTGTCACTACTGTATATACTAATGCATGTTAAACTCTGTTGCCTATTAGGTTAAGTATTTACCTGACCTCTGCTCTGGTCAATATAACCTGCTGCTTAGCTTAATCTAAGCCATTATCTGCTTATAATAATAGCTTCGTGTGTCACTTCTGAACCGAGGCTCCAGTCCTGCTATGTGAAACTGCAAACTACTTGTACTACTTTAAAACCACCTGGCTTCCATTCTCCCAAGAGATCTCCTTGCTCTTGTTCAATTAACCAGTGTGATCAGGCCCTTGATGAAGAAAGAGCCTGGACTCTGACCCTTCTGTTCCATCAATACATGCTTATCTTGCAACTTATGTTGTTGATTCATACTTCTTCGTAAACACTGACAGAGTAGAGGCGATAGAGAATAGACATATATTTTAAACGCGTATTCTCTGCATATCAAAAATGGAATCCCACCTTTTCACTCACATACTTTAGAGACCGCTTAGCTGAAACAGAAGGGACATTAAGATTCTTATTTCATTTATTTTGCTTAATGAGTCACTGCAGACTGCCTGACCTACTTCTGCAAAACAATTAGTCAGGAAATGTTGGTTATACAGCTGATTTACTGTGAAACATCTTGGATATCCATCCAGTGAGGATTTTGACTCAAGAAAAAAGAAAAGTTGAATTATGCTTCCCTCAAAGTGGGAACTTTGCAAGCTTTTTGTTAATTTCACTAATGCTACACTATCAACCACAGCTTAACAAATGCATTTGTCTAGTACATTTAGTACTGCACATTTTAGAGAAAACAGATTTCCATTCATGAAAGGTTACTTTCTAAACCCGTTTTCTTAATTCAGGGGGCATATTAAAGATTGGAGTCTCTTTCCAATTGTGTGATCATTCACTGCTCCAGGGCAATGATCTAATCTAAAGATAATGTTCAGTGACCAGACTCTTCAGGAATGTAGTTGAGAGAATTGAACACTTCTTTCTGAACTGTCTTACTGCAAGGTTATGTTTAAATACTCATTGCTTAAGCAAATTTAAACATGAACACATAAGTGCAAGCATATAAACATATACATGCAAATAAAAGCATATAAGTATAGAAACATGTTAAAATATATAAATAGACAAAAACAAAAATACAAATGTAGTTAAAGTCAGGAAAATGAGGTATCATTTCCTTCTACTGAGTTGCAATGAAAAGCACCCAAGAGAGAAGATGTATTAAATGCAGAAAAGACTGTGGGCTCCTTATCACTGAAGGGAAATAAAGAAGTATATTTAATTAATAGGCTCTGTGCCAGATTCGTCAGAACCATGACTCTGCTGGTTTCAGTGGAGCTATAGCATTAGGAGCACACACAGCCTACCAGACTGCTCTGGATCTTCCCTCCTTGCTCTACATATTTGCACATCAGATTTATAAAGCCAAAGCTGGCAGGATGATATTTCCCTTTCCTCTAAAAAGGGAATTTGTTATAGCTGTGCCCATCTGCACTAAACAGTGTTCAGGGGGGAATCACACTAACACAAGTACACATAGAAGAATGCATGCAAGTACATTTTACTCTTGCCCTTGTGAACTCCTAATAAAAGAAGTAGCAGTGTAGCGTTTACAGCTACCTAAAAGCACACTGGTGGAACACTGTTATCCACAATGAATGCAACAACACAACTGCAGGAAACCTCCCAGCCGTGCCTCTGGCTGGAGACAGCTTGCTCACCTGGTGCCCCCGTGTACATGATGGAGAACACGTTAATAGCAATGGTAGCAGCATAGAAAACTGGAAGTGCACGAAGACCATTGGGCACAGGGTCTTCCTGCAGAAAAATCAGGAAAAAAAGGAAGCATAAGCTAGGTTTTCCAACAGATTAATATAAACATGAACCAACATAAGGAAAATACATCCTCCCAAGCCAGTGCCAAGCAGCTGTAGCCTTCATGTGGATGGTGAGGAAAGGATGTTGACCTGGGTGGTTACAGTCAAACCTCCAGAGATGGTCTTGGCAAGCACCAGTATTTTGGGGAAGCCTGACACTGTTCTTGTAGCTTCAGGTCTGCTGCAGACCTGTTGGTTGACCTGGAGGCAAACTTCTTTCTGTGAGCATTTTACTTTGCAGGGGGCTATCCTGGCTGCCAGACTAAGCACTTTAAATGAAGCAGGCATGTCACCGTGCTTAACTGCCCAGCACAGAGCTCAGCAATGGGCACAGAAGGCAAGCAGCTGTGCAGCCTTGTGCCCCTGGTGCTCACAAGCAGAGGCTCAGCTGACAGTGCTGAGGAAATGCACAATGCAATGCATGGAAAAAGCCCTTGTGAAAAGAGAGCCTTGGCCTTTTGATGGGCTCTACATAGCTGGGAAGAGCCTGATGAAGCCAAGGGGTGGCTGGACAGATTTTGTTACCTAAAGTCATGCAGAGACACCAGGAGTACATGCACAAGGGCATGTTCATGTGATTTTGATGATTAATTTACTGAGTTGTGAAGTTTTTGAGTGGGAACTTTTTCCCTACAGTATCTCAGCCTTTATGCAGATCAAGTCATTTTAAATTCAAAGCTGTGTCCGTTCAAATTTGCCACCTGCTTTTATCACTGATGTTTATTTACATCAGAACTAAAGAATGATGAAGCTGAGGTTACAGGTGGTGCTATTTATAGCAAAAGAATTAGCTCCACATCTATTTAAGTTCCCTGCATAACCACTAACATGGTATCCCTTATTTTAGGTCCTTGTCATGTGCTGTACCACCTATTTTAGCAAATTGAATAGTGTGAGAGAAATGAAAAGAACAGACAAAAGTGTTCTGGTTTCCAGTCTCTGCTGGTGGGAAGAAAGTCATCTTCCACACCAGAGATATATGGACTGATACTACCTCAAAGCGGACTGAGGTCACTAAAACCCATTGATTCAGGTTTCATGAGAATCTAGTAAATAAACAGATGCCCATCTTCTAATATCTGATACACAAGAAAACAAAAGCTTAAAATTTCTCTGAAATATTAATGAGAGTATCTCCCAGTGAGAACTATTCTTTATAAATAACAGTTTGAATTGCTATCATGAAGCTAAATCAACACTGAAATATTTGTACTAATAAAGCAGCGAAGTACAATCTTTCAATGAAACAGAACATACTACATGAATTAGCTTATGATGCACTTGCATAGCGCTTTCTAAGCCTCAAATACGCGTTTTGTTACTTAATCTGAGCTTTCAGAATTGCTAAGAGCAAACAGAGTTCCAATGGCTAGGTAAAGAATGACTGGTCTCCTATCCAAAAAGCAAGCCACAAACTTTCAACTCTGTGGAAATATCCACATTCAAATGATGGGCCAGAACATAGCCTTTGTAGCAGGCACTCATTATAACGATGGAATTTGTTTACCTTCTTTAGAATGAAGAATCTAATCAACACAAAAAGTACTCCAGACATCAAGCCAGACAACAGAGGGGAAATAAACCAAGAGGCAACTGTGTTGAAAAAAAAAAGACAGAAAAGAACATGAAATATATAGTATAATTAACTCGTATAATAGTCAAGAAGCTAGTAATCAATGAGCAATGCATTCAAAACTGTTCTTGTACAACTGGAATGTTTCAGATATTTACTTACAACTGGAGCAGCTCAATTTCCACTGATACTCATGAAAGTCAAACTACTGGTAGGCACTATTAGAAACATCAGCCAAAACATTTCCAAATAACTTTGCAAGTTTAATGATCAAATTAGTCTAAGAGAATTACTAAAAATTCCTGATCACCATAACTGCGAAGGGTGCAAGCAAGTGGCAAGCAACTGCATCTATCAGGATGTCATACAGCACACAGGGTAAGAGTCTCAATTTCCGAAATGCCACAGAAGCATCAGTTGCAGAGAACAATGCACAGAAATTTTTTTGCGGGCAAGATTTGCAAATGTTCAGTACTAATTTAACAGAAGTGGGTGGCAAAACTCCCACTGATTTCAATAAAACAGGATTAGGGCAAAGCTCTGGAAATCTCATCCAGATTCACTTATTGTTTGTGACACAGCTAACAGGTTGATTCTGCTGTTATTCCAAGCTCACTAAAAACTTCATTTTACTTTTGACAGAATTACAAAAAAATACACATAACTTCTTTAAAGCTCAACTGTACTCCTGTGCCTTCAACCTTGAGTCTTTTTAATGCAGGATTCAGGATGTGACTCGGGTTACAAGGCTTCCAAAACAATACAGAACCCTTCCTGACATCCCTGCTTGGCGGTGCTGATGGTGGCAGTGGGAGACTGTGATGTAAACATGTGCTGTGCACTCAGCTTCCACCTTCCTGGATCTGGTGGGTGGAGACACATGACTATGGGCATTCATATTGCTCAGAATAAGAACGAGGTGGTATGAGCTGTCACTTTTTGTGGCATTAGAAGAGGAGGAGTGTCACCTTGAAGCACATCTGGGAGGCAAAATGTTTCCTAAGCTTACTGCTGGAAAAGCACAACTTGCATTTTACCTTTCTCCAGGGCTGGCCTGCAGATGCACTGCAGCCCTCAGGTAGAAAATAATTTAAAGAGGGAACGCTGCCAGTAAAAAACATGCTTCTGTGAAAGCTTCTGCAGTCAGGGCACAATTTTTCCCAGACCCTCCCACATAAAAGGAAATGGCAATTACCAATCTTGACAAGCTGCATCCACTGAACTCCCTGTGTGCCAATTGCAACGAGTGAAAATCCAATAGTAGCACCTACAATGCAATGGGTCCCCGATATTGGGAGTTTCAAGAAAGATGCAATCAGCTGCCAAACAGCAGAACCTGGAAAGTGAGGAAGGAGAAAAAGCATAAACTGTACACAACAATAGTAAAAGTCACACAGAAAATTCTCATTGATATACCCTTGTTCCTTTATGAACACAGACTACGCTCCACATGCACAACAGAGATCTCCTAAAGAGAATTTTGTTCCTTTTCTGACTGCAAAAGCAGGTACTACAGCAGTCTAATAGCTGCTCTGAACGCTGCATCTTATTCATTATTTTTTGTTACTAACAGCACTTAACGCTGCACAACAGGGCTGCTCTTTTTTGAAGGCTTTCACTATTTTTCACCATTCAGTTCATTCACTGAATCACATGAACACACAAATAGCTCCAGGTATGCATCAAGCTTAGAAAACCTCATTCTCTAGAAACAAACCTGGAAGCCTCCAAATGACCAGTGTCAGGAGCCAACCATGGCTTCACTGGTGAGATATTCAGCTGCTGAATTCAGATGCTACCAGAGAAAGGTTCAAATCCTGGCTCAAGGGGCTTTCATGCCTCTTCTCAGTGATGTGCAGCCACTATCTAGAGTACTCTACAGGATAAATTGACTGAGGAGGGAGTGAAGATGCTTGCTGTCTTCACCTGTAGCTCACTGCAGCACTGGAGAATTCAAGTTGTGGAAAAAAAGATTTCTAGCACCACAGAGAGGACCTTGTATTCAGTTTTGGTTCAAGATTTTGATGGTTAGATTAGACCACAGCTGGACAGCGAGCCCAACAGCATACAACTCCATGCTCTTCTTTTCATACCGCAGCACAAAAGGTCCCCTGCTCCTCTTACAGTGGGTTAGCGTGGGGACATCAAAATCATCTGGGCCATGATTCAAGTTTTCTGCTTGTCGAATATTAGAGAGCTCTCAGTAATATCTCTTCTTCATCTTAACGCTTTGTGGTCTTGAGACAAAATCTTACTATGTTACGAAGCTCCAAGGTGACAGCAATCAAAATGCAATGAGAGATCCCATATTTTCTGGCTCATGCCATCAGTCTTTACAGGTCTGCAGCAGACACAGGTGATAAAGCAAGGCTGCTGAACACACACTGTCACTCAAATCCCAGCCTCCACTCTCAATTCCAACAGGGGAGGATGGTTTGAAGATCTTGAAATGGAGTCTGGTTACAAAACAGGGTTTAAAAGCATTGAAAAAGAGCTGTGTTACAGCTCCACGACATACACATCAAGAAGGGAGAGAGCAAGGAGGCAATTACTGATGCCTTTTCAAGTTGCACAAGGGCTCCAGTGCAAGGAACATAGGGATGATGCTCACGACGAGGCATGGTGAAGGAACAGTCTTGACAGCAGAGGCTGGTAGAGAGGACAGGTTGGAAAGTATAGAGAACTGAAGAGAAGAATGAAAGGTACTCTGATAAACAAGCCTCAGAGACTGGTTTGTCACTTCAAACAAGCCTTTATACAGTCAAGTTTCTGCCTTATAAATGCTATCCTAAATACAAGTCTTGCCAGTCTGCTGGCATCATATGCAGTGTGGAAGTCAACCAGGCAGTAACACTGATCTTTCCTGGGGCACTATCCCAAAACAACTGGTACACCTACTGGAAATTCTAGATCAATCAAGGAACACCTGCCCTTTCATTTTTTGGCCTCTCTTCCCACACACTACAACAATAATAAATACACTGTGAAACCTTTGACATGAACTTCAGAGATCAGCAAGTGGAAGTGAGGTGAAAGGGAACACACATGGTAACATCTCTGAAGAGCCAAATGAACAGAGATAAGTCAGCCAGAGACACATAATTGCACCAAAAAGAAGTCGTTCTAAAAAACAGAGAAAATGCTTCCAAGTCACAGCTGCACTACAAATATGCAGAGATGGCTGGGGTTTTTTATGGGGAAACAGGGAATATGGCACTATTTCTTATTTAATCGATCTAGAAAACAAACAGGAGGGAAAGTATTGGAGGACTGATAAATAGCCTAAAAAGGACCATCTGTAGTCTAAAGAAGTTGAAGCAAGCATGTTAGAGTACAGAAGAAAGTACAAAATAAGCCACAACAGGACTTCCCTCTGGGGCTTGCAATGCCTTAAGGCAGACACCTAAAATATCAACATCAATCCTTAACTCCTCTCTGACGAAAAATGCATGTTTCCAACCTTGACAAAACCAGCCCAGAAGCCAGAAGGCTCATTAGAGCTTTTCCTGGCCCACAGCATGAATGCTCCAGAATAGAAGTATGCTACAGCATCCCAAAAATGAAAGTCCCAAATAATAAAACCACCAAAAATCAATATTTTAGTAGGTTACAAATTATTACAAAATGCTACATTACAGAATGTAAATGCAAATTATGTCATCCCCAGACAATCCCAGTGCTCCTTGCTTCCTTCTTTCTGACCAGGTGGTTGCTCTGAGAATCCCCATCTGCTGTCTGCAAGCATCAAGATATCTTCCAGTAACAACTCAAAAGAGAACACCATGACTGTTGGTCTCCTCTATACAGCTGGCTCGTGGAAGCCTCAATGAAATTCAGAAGCTAACTCTGTTCATGGAAGCATGACCATGATGCATAAGAGAACTAAGATAAATATGCAGAGGAAAAAGAGGAAAAGTAAACATACAGGAGAGAAAATACAGAGAAAATATTGTACATCCAGAGGAAAGCTGGAGGTGGATTTGAGGGGAAAAAAAAATGGAACCTGCAGTTGGTAATTTGTGCTTAATTCAGAGATTTAAAATGTGGGATTTGTTCTTAATGCCCTTACTGAAGGAAGGGAATGCAACCGGTCATGGAGTTCACACAAGCTTACGTAAACACACATGCAAATAAGTTGTTTTCCTTGAGCTTCTGGCCAGTTGCCTCCACAGGGGGTATAGGGGACATAAAACATTGCCCAGACAGGATCAGAACATCATGAAGAAATACAGAAAGGGGAAAAGACTCCTGCTCTGCAGGTGGTGGTCAGGAGATGTAAGTCACTACTTACGTCTCATGCGGCGTGAGCTGCTCTCAGGTGCGAGTCGGAAATGATGGAGCTATCTCAGGAAGAAAAGGGTAAATACTGCAAGCAGAGTGACACTCCTTAGTCATCCCACAGCTTGAGGGCAAGAGCAGGAATCTGCAGCTGGCCTTGCAAGGCATCAAGACAGAGGAAGAATTGGAGCTCAGGAGTGCTGAAGATGTTCCTTGCAGTTGCCTTGTATGAGACAGCAGCTAATCAGCTCTTCTTCCTCTTCTCCAGGGAAGGCAGCCAGCCCTCTGGAAGCTCAAGTGTGGTGAAGGTTGAAGAGGAGCACTGCCCCTCTCACTCACCAAAACTACCTCAGTCCAGCCCAGAAAGTGGCAGTCTAAGCCCAACTTGATCCATTACAATTTTTTAAAAAATTGTACGAATTGTGCAGAAACGGGAAAAAATGCATGTAGTAGATCTCTGTTTGGAATCACCTATTTTTTTGTGCGGGTTCTGTTTGAAAACTTTGGGGAGAGTGCTTCCTGCTTGCTGTATCCTGCCCTTTAAAAGCAGGTTTGCTGTTGATCCTTGTGGGAGCTCTCCAAAAGCTCACAAAGCCTCTTGCATACAAACAAAGGAGAAATACCAGGGCTTAATGTTACTTACCTCAGAATATGCCACTTGTTCTGAACAGAGATTAATTTAACTGCAAACAAAAGTGTACAGAGGAGACTCAGAGGTACGCAGAACTGCTGCTGGTTTGAGTTAGAAAAAGTAAAAGTGCCTTTAATGCGTGGCCATCTATCTTTATTGCTCTTTGAAGTCATGGGGCAGGATTACACATATGATTAATTGCAATCAGTCAGCAAAATCACCAGTTTAAGCAAATATGCTTCATTTTCTTTGATTTTTAAAAACTATTTAGGCAATTGCTTTAATGCTTAATTCATTGTAAACTTCCTGCAGGATTTTCTCTGCAGTCACAAATGGTATGCTGACATATTTTCCATTTACCACAGTATAAATCTCCAAAATCTTTTTTTTAGGTACTCTAGGAATACATCTATACGATCCATTACATTAAACATTTTTTCCTCTATTAGTGAAATGGCTGAATAGCTGGAAAACGAAAACGATTAGAAGTGTTTTTAAAAAGCAGGAGCCTAAAAGGGGAATGCAAACCCCTCTATTTGTACAAAGCCGGACGTGAATCCAGAAGATGGGAAGATGTAAATTTAATTAAAACGTTCACAATGAGCAGGATGACAAACGTGCAGTGACTGTTACTTGGAACAGGAAAGCATTACTCACCAACCATCGCGCTGACTTCTCCTGCCATCAGCAGCGGCACAGTGTCGTTGTACAGGTTAACATCGATTATACCTTTCCGAATCGTCTCTCCTACTTTTGCTCCCAGCAGTACCGAGCCAGTAGTTTCAAAAACTGAAGCCAAAATGCAAGCCTGGCGCAAAGTCACTACACCAGAGCCCACGGCAGTTCCGAAAGAATTGGCAACATCATTTGCACCCACTGAAAATGCTAAAATAAAAGCAATGATAAAACCCACAATGACCATCCACAGGTACTCTTCCATTGCCATCTTTCCCCAAAGCGTAGATCCGTTTCCCCTTTGCAAATAGTTAATAGTCAAGGCTGGAGGGAACCGTAACGGATTTGGAAAGCAGATTTCTTGTAAACAATGAGTTCTCTCTGGTAGTGTTAGAATGTGAACAAACTGCTAACTGCCGATTTTCACACTACTATAAATACTGTTCATTTGCCTGCGCTCAGTCAGCAGTGAAGAACATTCCATATTTTGCTCCCAAACTGGTACAGCAGTGGTGTCCTGTCCTGCAGCAGAAAGAAAGAAAAGAAAATTAAAAAAAAAAGAGCCTGCGGAGCCTGTCTCAGTGCGTGTTTTCTGTAGTAAACAGATGATTTGAATCCCCTAATGGGACCCTGCTTTGGCATGTGACTGTTCTAAATCATAAAGCAATTCAAAAAGGTTAAAATTAGGTCACCTCCAAAGCAACATGCTTCTGGAAGTATGACTGACTGAGAAAACATTTTGATCGCTTTAAAAGGACTCAAAGAGGTTGGTGTTTTCTGCCGCATTTACCGAGCAGCTCTTTCTAGAAGGATTCATTTTGGCCCTTGGCACCAAATCAGCATATAGCATGTAGGACATACAGACTACACCACACAGCCTGATTCCCAGCTGATGGGCACTGCCCAGCTCTGTCCCCTCTGCAAAGCTGTCCCATTTTACCAGCTGTAAATGGGATGCACTGCTTTGGAAAACGATTTTGTCTATGAAACGTCACCAAAATACTCTCAAGAGCACTGATATTCATATATTGCTGTTATCACATCCCAGGCAGTAAAAGAATATCATCTTCTTACAGCTTCTCAGCCATTGAATCAGCACAGTGATCACAATATTCCATGTATTCCTATAGATCTATATAAGTGTAGGGAAAAGTCTGACTAAAAAGTTTTAAGCTATCTCCTCTTTTCTGTAGATAGTTACTAATTACTAGTAAGCTTATTATACTCAAACCATTCCTACATTTTAATATTTTTGATGACTTTGATTGTACAAAATGCTTTTTTATCTATGTCTTAGTCTTTACTTAGTTTAATCAGAAATATGTGTGAGATCTTTAAACCAAAAATGCGGACAGGAAAGAGTTTTAAGAAATAAAAGCTTCACCATCCAAAAGGGTATATCTTGATCTCTAGGTCAGTAAGAAAGCCACTAGGTATATTTATATAAATCAAACTTAAAAACCACACTTCGACATTCAGCAGTCACCTAGCTCCCTTTGAATGCTATGGAACAGAGGCAGTTTGAAACCAAAGTATTTTTGAGAGTATGTAGGGGAAAATTACTATTCTCCAGATTTGGCTCAGACAGACTGTATGAATCCTTCATACACTTGCCCCCTAAGCTCTTCATCTTTAAATTAGATGTCAGAGGTGCAGAGCATTGCCGAATTCAAGCCTGTAAGGACTCACGGGTCCCATAACCAGTAAGGACTACGGTGGTTAAAGGCTGGAAACAAGCACCAGCCTGGCAAAATCCATCTGCCTCTTCCATTGGCTGTTTCTCCTGTAGCAGTCATCTGCATCTATGAAGCCATCTTGTAACATCTTCCTATCTGCGCTCCAGGGAGGTGCCATTTTGAAGGTGGTGAGGAGTCACGGGCATATTCAACAGGAAATACCTGCCAGCCAACTGCACACCTTGCAAAAAACATTTCAGATTTGGGGCAAGTCAGATGGCAAACACCGAGCCCAACTACTGCTCTACCTCTTAGCCTCATTCAACAAATCCACACACATGGTTTCAAAACCACGCTGAAGTTCTTTTGAATACACTGAAGGTCTGCATTAGGAGGGAAAGAGGGTCTCTGCAGAGAACATCCAAAACCTCAGAGATCATAATGAAATTAGAAAATCATGAGATTTTGCATATTCCTGAGATGCTGGATCATTGAGAACTACCACAAGGGAAACATCACACCAATAATTAAGTAATCGTTCCCTGAAAAGCCCTAAAGTTTATGTCAGGGATTGATCTTTTTATCCAAACATACATATTAAGGAGAAAAGATTTCTCTTTTTTCTTCCAGACTCTGCAGAGGCTGGGCGATTGTTGCTCTGGTCTTTTCCAGATATGGAGCAGACATCAACCCCTGAATGATTTGCACTCCAAAATAACATCTTGGAAGGTCTTAACTGCTGAAAACATTTGTATAAGGATTTTTATACTATGAGATAACATGTGAAAACGAAGCCCCAATGCATTTTTCATATTTGAAGACTTGTTGCCCATAATTCATGAGCATTCAGCCCTTGGAGTGGGAAAAGACTTGAAGAGGGGGAAAGGCTAACAATATTCAGAAGAATTGCTTACAGTTAGAGCTTGTCTGCCTGAGAAGGGGGACAAAACTTGTGGTGTGCAACCATGAGACACTGAGACATGCCAATGCCTATTCCATAGCCCGGGAGCCTTTCCCAAGTCATCCTCATACTGAGAGACTTATTACATACCTCGTTTCAGATGGAACCACAACAGAAAACACGATTACTCAAGATAAAGTGTTAACGAAGTGGTGGTTTGAGCAGTTCAGCCTGCAAGGCATTTTGAGAACTGACTCGCTGTTGCCTGAGCTGAGAACAGTTGCTTCAAAATTCTGTGTAGAGAGCGTAAGCGTGCAGGCATGGGGGGCAGAGAAACATTTCTCCTTACTCTGTTAGATTCACTCATTTTTACTTATGTATGTTGAATTTTTGCTGAGAAATGAAGTGCTGGACCAAGCTCCTACCTTGATACTGGAGATTCATGATTAAATTCCTTAGCCTGCATGCATTTGTACAGCACCTTGGCCAAGTTAGCCTCTGTGCTTCAGCATCCTCTCCATAAAATGGGAAAACTTGCCTGAAATGCACATGCATCCACAAACACAGTGGTTATGAGAGTTCTGTTTCCTTCAGAGCCATGAGATGCTAGCAAATCCTTATTTCCAGCAGAGGTCTGTCTCCTACTTACCAACCAACCTCACAACTTTCTGTGCTGACCCAATCTCTTGGATGAGGGAAAGCATGGGTATTGTGACATTCCCCACCACAGCAGAGCTCATAGGACAGCATTTATTCAACCAGTTCATCCAGCTTCCATAATAAACTGCTAAGTCACAAGGCTGCCCTTACAGCTTCCCTGGGGAATGAGCTCCAGGTGGTCCCAGAGAAATAAAGGTTGAAAATAGGTGTGCTGAGGCAAAGAGCTCCGAAATCTCCTGGTGAAGATTGCAGAGTCTCAAAGTGTGCTGGTGGGGCTCTTGGCAAAGGGCTGAGGGGCAGCTACGTGACCGCCATCCCTGGAATGCGATACAGGGAGGAAAGGATACCTGCAGCAAGGTGCGACTGCAAGGATCAACACAGAGGTCCTCCTCCGAAGTCTTGACTCAATTTTACCAGGGCCAGAACACAGCAATAGCTATACCTTGTCTTTAGCACATCTAAAATCCAAGTGAAAAGAGGAAAGGGGATGGGCATGTTTAGAAACTAACACGCAGGCAGTGTTTGAGCAGCGTTACTACTTTCTCCTTAAGTAAGTAGGAGATATTAAAAGCTTAAAGAAAGAAATGGAAAGAAGGAAGAAAAAAATGGTCATATCTGCTCCTCTGTGAAAGTTTTCAGAAATGCAAAATATCCTGCAAAGTAGGCCAGTGACTAAATACAGACTAAATCTTGCAGCGTGCTTCTTTCTGCAGCCCAAAATACATCTGGCATGCTTGGGCACGCTGAGCTATGCCCCTCCTCACCTAATCTAGCCCATGAGCTGCGGTATTTTGAGCTGTTGCTGGGACAAAAAAGAAATGGGTAAAAACACCACACAGGAGAGTCTGACGGACCGTCGGCTTTGCATGACATCTGGAAGCCTCCAACCCTTTTTGCCCTTTTGTATTTTCTTAATACGCCTCCGTGACGCCAAATGCAATTAAGCCTGATCTGCTCAGCACTGGGAGATCCTCAGCCTCACCTGTGGGACCGACGTCGTCTCTCCAGCCGGCTGCACCAGACAGAGAGGTTACCCTGTCAGAGCACAGGGCCCTGCGGTGTGTGGCCAGGCTGGGCCTGCAGGGCCACAGTGCACACCTCTGCGGGATGCTGTGATGCGTGCATGTGGAACGACGCTGGGGCGAGTCTTCCGGCCACGGGAAGCTGATTTGGCATTAAAGGCAAAGTTTTTAGCTAACGTGGCTTTCTTCTGATCAATAATTAGTGTGGCATTCTTGGGCCTCGTGAAGTGGGCTCTTTCAGTGGACTTATTAACTTGCACTTCAATGCGAAAAACCTGATTGTTGGAAATGCAAAGCACATCCTTGCTGGCAGATGACCCAGACAGCCCCTGTGATGTCAGTTTGCCTCTTGCTGACTGTCTCCTCCCCGGAGGAAAGGAGTAGAAGGACAGCCAGGAGAGGGGCACCGCAGCTCATTGTGAGCGACAAGCAGATGGGCAGGAAAAGCCAGGAAGCAAGAAGCAGGAGATCATTTCAGGACATGTTTATATGTGGGTACTTACTAAGAAAGCTATTCTGGAAACTATTCACAATACATTTCTAAGCATAGACAAGCGCTTTGGTGAAAAATTAACAGGAAATTGAATAGATGATGTTGTCAGTTCTTATTTTTTTAGCCAAACAGATTGTTGGTGGAGAGAAAGCAAAACCACCTAACAACAGGGACAAATGGTTAAACAAATGCTAAGGACTAGGTTCCAAGTCTGAGGAAGTGATTCCAGTGCATTACCCACCAGCAGTCCAGCTGGGTGACAGAGAGGAACAAACAGAGACCTGATAAATGCTTTTTCATCTTCTCTCTCCTGAAAATTAGGGGAGAATCCACTGCATTCACGTGAAACATTAAAATGTACATAAACCACAGTACATGCAAACCACCTGCTTTCAGCAGCTGCTCCGTCGTGGAGTTTAAAGCTTCACCCTGCTACAGGCAGGATGGGGATTCAGTGAGTTTCCATTTTCAACTCTTGTTTTGTTGTTGTTGTTTTTTCTGTTGTTGATCACGTATGAACAAATATCAATAGACAGCAGCTAATGTAGCACTTCTAAAGACAACTATTACAAGTACTCCACTTTGCATTATGACAAGAGATACAGGGGAGGACAATTTCTTCTCCCCTGCAGTGCGCAAAAAAGCAAATATTTTGTTAGACTGCTGTGTTTAATTTGCACCGACAGGACCTTCACTTCTCATTACCGGTGGCTGAAAAGTCTGTCTCAAACGTTTACCACACTGGGGCTTTCAGGAGTTTATTCCATCCCTCCCAAATTTCTGTGTGCTGTTTTTTACATAAGACACATTTGTAAGGCTTGCCACCTATGTATATAAGTGCAGGGATCTTCTAAATTCGCAATAGCTCAGGCATTACAGCCTATTGGTACTAAATACAGTGCTGCACAGAAACCAGACCTGATTTATAAGCAAAGCCCCTGACAGTTCACAAAAATAGTTCTTATCTTTCCTAGTTCCTGCACGGACCATAAGACTCACAAAGTACCTGCTTTAAGTTACTAATATTACATCTGTGATATGGAAGGTGGTACATTTCAAGTCGTTCGAGACTAAGAACATCCCTATATGGCTCTAAATTACATGCACAGGACTTGTCACAAGGCCAAGCGTGATGCAAGTTTAATGCTCCAGGACACAAAACCCACCAATGCACTTCTAAAAATCAATTACCACATACTCAGAAGCAATTTTGTATCAATCAGTTCCTATTTTAATGCAGTCGCTATGTTTTTGTGCATACTTGGCACTACTACTCGATATGGAAACGCCACTGAAGTTCACAGTTTTCCAGGGACTCCTATCAAGTTTAACACTGCAGAGAGACACTGTCACCTTCAGTTTCCAAAACCTGCAGAGGATGCTATGTTTTCCTAGATCCTAACAACCTCTGTTCCCCCTACCGAAAGGCCAAAAATGCAGATAAAATATTCAGAGTGAGATCATGTTGCCAAAAACATTCAACTCAAGTGACAGAAAGCAGTCATGCATAAGCAGTAATTCTACAAACCAACGAAGTAAGCCAGGCAAGGTATCAACAAGTCCTCATTCACCTGTTGATAAAGATATTTTTATGTACTAAAGAACAGTTTTATCTTTCAGTGCCCAAGCAAAGTCTTTCTAACATGCAAATAGTTTTTATGATTCTGCACAAGAGATTTCTAAGATCTGTTCAGAGAAAACAAACAAGTGCTTTGTGGATATTTAAACTACGTTTTATAAAAGAAAGCCATGCACAGAAACCTTTATTACTCACCCAGTACTTAAAAGTTGTTTCAAGAGAAACAGGAGCTAAGTTCTCCCAGCGACATGCCTGTCTGATTGTAAATAGAGGCTGAAGTCTAAAATAGATAGCCTATCATTCAGCACAGCCACATCTGAACATGCAAACTTCCAGAGGGTATAAAAGTGCTGGCGACTTACACAGGCAGTCCTCGGATAGAATTCCCTCCAGCACAGGGGAGCCCTCAAGACAGCTCCGAGAAGCATCAGCACGAGTCCAGAGCCGTGTTCAGGAGGTGGAAATCTGCCTCCTCTTAAGCAAAGAATTCTGCTGGGGGTGGGCACTGATAAAACACAACACTGCGTCACAATTGCACTCATTAGGCAAACCAATCCAAGGAAGCTCATATTAAAACAACAAAATGCTCTCTCTCTCTCTCTCTCTTTTCCCCCCAAGCACAGGCATAGACCAGATAGTGAACCTCCTTTTTTTTAAAAAAAATCTCTTACCAGGAGCAGTGATCACTGGGCATTCTGGGGTGATCGGGTGGGCTCTGAGAAGCCCACTTTGCAAGCACACTGAGCCTACGCTTCATGTAAATGGTGAAAGTGCCATTTAGCAAGAAAGTATGCACATCCGACTGAGGAAAGATGTTGCACGCTTGTTACTTTATCCATGTCAGTAGAGGTCTCACAGGCTACGCAGACTGCAGAAAGCTGAAGATGTGCACGAGTGTGGGCTGGAGCAATGCCTAAGCAAGCAACTTCACTTACAAAAGTTCAGCCCCGATTACATAGGCATAATTCCTTGAACCACCTTCTTTGGAGTGCGAAGAAATTTTGCATGTGTGTCAGGGTAAAAGTAATGTTTGCCTAAAAGCACCCAGCTTAGCTTTATATAAAATATGTCCTTGAATACCACAGGAGACAATCAAACTATTTAATACAGCAGAAAGGAATTGAAATCAAAACTTCATCGTTGTGGTTTAAAAACCTGATACATGTAGATTTACTTCAAGGATAAACCAGGCTTCTGGTTCATAAGCAAATGACGTTTCAAACTTAGCATTTTTACTAAACTTTCAGATTTGACTCCATTCTGAATCACATTCAAACATACCAAACTCAAATTTGCCATGTCCTCCACATTTGAGAAAAATCAAATCACTGATTTAAATCTGCAAATGTAGAGTTGGAAACTTAATTCTTACCTCATCTATTTTTTCAAGTCCGAATGAACTCATAATATTGCTTAACAAGGAGGTAAGGGATTTCCAAACTGAGCTCAGCTGCAGATCACAGTCAGGGATAATTTGGTAGATCTGCAAAGTGGTTTATATTTGTTAAAAAAACTCACGCAGATTGGTAAACCTACATCATCTTCCACAGGGAATTAGGGCAAATCTGCAGCTAGAAATCTCTAAGGCAGAAATGACATTAAAATCTTCCAATTAAACAAATAAAAATAAAAATAAAAGATAAATATCAGACCAGGATTCCTTACAAGAAATGTTAACTCTTTACAGAAGTTCAACACCCAACCATTAATAAGCTTGCCCGAAGGCCCACAGCTTTGTGCACAGCTAAATCTCAGGTCTGGATGTAAAGTCTCTCCTTTTCATGTTGTAATTGCTGGCAAACAAGCTCACCAGTTTTAGAAAAGTGAGAAACTGGTTTTCCTTTCTTACGAAAGCCACGTATGTTGACAGTGAGAAGGTAAATCTTTTCCTGAAGATCTAAACACATCCCACTTTTTATCCTAGTTTTTAAAAGCAACAGCAATCAATCCAAATGAGAGTGAACCTGATTGTAAACATGAAGTCAGCTTGTATTTATAGGTCCAGATTCCAAGGATTTAAGGAAGTGAATAAACAAACACAGAAACTTTCTTGGAGTACTTATTTAGCTTTATACAGTAGGAAAAACAAATGAAAAAAATACCTAAGAAAAAAACAGAACACAAAATATTATTCCACGTTCTGTTTATAGCCGACATGCTGTTGATGACTGGCATGGTAAAGCACAGTTCAAACACGAAGGATCAGAAGCAGATCCAACCCCCTCCAGCTCTCCCTAACCAAGGGCTCCTCCGGCATGGAGTGCCACCACAAGTGTGCAGATGCAGGTAGGAAGGCCTTCCAGAGGACACTCCTTGGCCAGGCTACTTGGGAGGTACCTCCAGCTATCCCCAAAGCCAAAGCTGCCAGCCAACACTGTGGGAACCATCTCAGACCCACACAGACAACAAAGTAGAACCCTTTGGGTGCCACTTCCCATGAGCCAGCCTGACCACAGCCGTGGTTTCTTGACGTAAACTTCAGAGCAATTGCAAAGCATATAATAAACAGCACAGAAAAAGGAAATATCTTTCAAGCTTTTGTTCTGCTAAATCAGCACTGTGGACCTCAGGCATGGGAAAAGTCGATCCAAGATAGGTTGATCATTAAAAAAAGTTACAATTTGGGATACCACTAAAGAAACAGGCAAAGGAAAATTTATACGACCACAAAATAAATGATGAGGTTCGGCTTCTGGCAGTGGTGGCACCGGTCGGGTTCCCATCAAAACAAATATTTGTAGAAATGATAAATATTACATATTACAATCACAATCAGATATTGTAATTTTTTTTTTTTTCTTCTTGATTGTAATTTACTCTGGAAAGTCCACAACTGAGGGATCCCTGTTTGATTCAACAGTTCCAGTGTCGGCAGATTTATATTCTGCTTCAAATAGGCTGATTAAAGTAATCAATTTGTATTATTTTCTGAAAGATGCCAAGGTTCTTTTTATCAGTAACTAAAGCAGCATTAATTGGCAACTTCAGGGCACTGTTACATCAAAAGTAACTGCCTTTTTTGCCATTCAGATGGAAAAGTTACATATTTATGCAGTTAGAGGTATTTTAAAATGCATACAGCTTGAGAAGAAAATAATGGGGGTTGGCTGTCATTTTCTAACATGAAAAATTGTAGGATTTGGAATCTGAATACCTTCAAGCTGTGCTTAGTCAGAAAAAGCAATGCAATAACAACATCCAAAAGCTGCACAACATCGTTCCAGTTGCACTCTGATGTCTTAAATAAGCTAATTGACCAATTTTCGGACTTTGGCATACCTACTGATACTCTGAAACTGGGAGCCACATGCAGCTGGAACTCAGCACTTCTGATTTCCCTGTGCTTGTGCTCCTGATCCTACAGGGAATCCCCACCTTCAAATGACAAAGAGAAAATGAACAGGCATAAAGGAGAGATGAAGGTGGATGGATGGCCCTGAATTTCTCCTCTGCAGACCTGGAGACACTCCTGAGCAAAGCCACAAACACTGCTTGAGCTGGAAGGAGCCTGCTCCGATCAACAGCTGTGTACTCGCTTTTGCATTTTGGGTGTCAAGCTCCAACACATTCTGTAATCTATCAGGATAATTTCCAAATAGAAAGAGATGTATCTGTATTTCACTCAACCATCTCAAACAATCTCAGGACTGTCTGTAAAGTCTAATATTATGGACACAAAAATTAAAAAGCTGGTGGACTTTCAGGGATGGATTGTGCTTTTTGCTCTGAGAAAGCAAAAAATTCAGGGGGTCTTTTTTTATCAACTCCAAATTCTGTCACACTGCCATGTGAAACATTTTTTCCAGCAAGCCCTTGATCTCCCAGAGTGGACAGGCCATCCCAACGAGGAGACTTCCATTCCCAATGGCTGAGGTGAACTTGCTGTACTTACATTAGCATGCAGGGAGAGCTGCCATACTGCAGTGTGACTCCACTTGTAGCCAACCATCATCTTTTGAGCAAGTAAGCCCTGGGAAAATGGAAAGGAGGAAGCCACAGCTGGAACTGCTGGAGGCCAAGCCTGGCCTGGAGGACGACAGAGGCTGAGAGAGTGAGCCTGATTCCAGTGCCTGACACAGAACAAGCTCATGCTGAGCAAGCAGGACTTCAAAGGCAGCAAAACCATTCCGGAGAATCAAGGCTTTGGTCAGTGCTGATTTGAGCACTGCTCCAGTTAATGCCAGGAACCAAATGGACTTGTATCACCCCAACTCTGGCTGATTCACTGAGGCTGGGCTTACAACATTCATATTAAGTGCAAAGGAATGGGAGAACCGCTGCCCTGCGTCTCCTGGGACTTTATCAACTATCTTCCCTCCCGAGCCCCACCTCTAAAGTAAGCAACCAACATAGGCAAAGCACTTCTAAAAACCCTGGCTGCTGCTGACAATTCAAGTAGCATTATTCCAAACTACTGATCAACCTACATTAACTACATGTGGAACACAAAAATTGGCTGTAAAACGTTGAAGGCAATTTGGAAATTCAATGTTTTACAAATTCAAAGGCTTATGCAAAGATCTCCTTAGTAAAAAGCCAGAATGAGGTTGCCAGAATTCAATAATGGGAATTTTCATATAGAGGAAATAAGACACCTCAATCCCCCAAATTAACTGCCATTCTCATTTTGTTTGGGCTTTCACACGACTGCTGTGATGTCTTCTCCCACTAAGCTACAAGAGAACTCTAGGGCTCTCCTGAAGCCAGTGAACCTCTCTCTCAAAAGGGAGGCGGAATGAGTAAGCAGTTATCAACACATTCAAGCGTCCTGAGTGGCTCACGCTGGCATCCTCCAAAACCAGCCTATCCACCATGACAGAAGATCAGGCACTGCTGAAGTGAGCTAGCTGACTGCTAAATGCAGGAAAGGACCAGTGATGAAATTATAAAGGTGGCAACACTGATGCAGCCACCGAAAGCTGTGGCTATGGCTTCATGCTGCTGGAACAGTAGCCAGCTATGACACCTAGGAGCCCGGTAATGACATACATAGGCTTTAATACTGTCTGGAGAAAGGTCCAAGCCACTTCTGTCACCAGAGAGAGCTCCCTCTTCACACTCTCCAGTACATGCTGACCATATGAAGAACAGCACCTGCCACCCAATAGGTCTGGTTGCCCTCAAAGATCAATAGCTGCTGTTCTTCAGAGTCTGTGTAGTGGTCCACTTCTACCTCCTACAGTCTTCACTGCTACAGACATGGGGAGCACAGTGGTGAGACAGGATGCTTGTGGTCCAACTATAAGAAAGAGTTAACACGTTGCTTCACTGTAGGCTGGTGGTGCTGCTGGAGCAAACAGGCGGCTGACAGACCTGTCACACTGGCTGGTAACTAAATCACTGCCGATGTGACATGCCAAAGAATGTCCCACGATTGGGTGCATGGCTTGGCAAACATCTGCAAGAGGGACTTACTGAGGGCATGTGCTGTGAAGTAGGTCAAGCAAAGCCAGGCTTAATTCTCTGCAAAGGGCCAGTCTCCACCTCAGTGTTTCTCCGGTGCTA